CAGTTAATTAGCACCAGATTGTAAACGCGTTTCATCTTATCGACAAAACATGTAAGTTTGCGTGTCACTTAATATTCCGTGATCAAAGAAACTGTTTAGAAAAGGTTGTAAGATAATCAGATTAGGTTTCGCTACGTTTTAAGGAGTGCCGTGTGTTGAGTCTTTTTAGTACAAGTACACAGTCAGAGCGAGAGAGGAAAGCGAACCTTGTGATCTTAAAATGAACTTGTGAAGTTTGCGAAGAACGGCCTGTTGAGTCTTGGCATTCGCAACACAAAGATAGTTTTAGTTACAGAGGCGCTGCCCTTTGGAACAGCTTACCCTGTAATATTAGAGAATTCCGTTCATTAAATCAATTTAAACGCTTTCTCTATCATCATTTTTTAACATACGGCATTCATGGAAATCAGTTTTATACGTAGAATATTGTTGTAAGTTAATATAATATTAGGATTAGAATTTTAGGTTTAGGATCTTAGACATTTTCTTGGAATTTATTGTACCTGATGATTTCTTTTACTGTGAATAAATAATGATTAAAGAAAGAAAGACCAGAATATGTGAGATGTTCTTGTGCAGAATTCCATGCGAAGTCAGTCTGGATCTCCGACCATCAACAGACATAGGCCGGGCATCTAATGTGGAAAGATCAGCGCAATGATTAACAATTCACCAATCGGTGAAAACAGTAATAGTTAATTGACCGTGATTGGTTTAATCCATCAGTCTCTTTACTCGATCAACAGTTATAAACCCCCTTCATAAATGGCTGCCAATTTTAAATCATTTTGCAAGTCTTAAAATTATCCTTCTATCCTTTTTCTTACGTTGCATGATAATTCAAAAGAATTTGTATTCACACACTAGGTTATGGCGAAGGTTATTTGAATGCATACAAAAGAATTTTAAATAGCCAGCATTTATGAAAAGGGTTTATATGATTGTTATACAAACCAAAAAGTCTTCAAAGTTTTTGCTACCTAAGCCGCTACGGTGGTCAATTTACGTTTATCGACTTACCACATGTAATTGTTTCTCTTGTCCGCCGACAGACCACAACGAGTTCATAAATATTTCTGGCATGTTAACCCGTATTAACGCCACTCAGTGAGTCAACTGACGGTCTAAAACTTTTAATAACACGTGATTGATTCGGGATTAACCCGATAATTCACAAATGAAGTTGTCGTTGTTCAGCATTATCCTAAATTTACAATGATCATGTGCACTTTCATTACTTAGTGCAATTTTGATGTTATGATTGGTGCGTGATTTTGCAGCCGTTAAATAATGAAAAATGTGCCACATTTTCGTCTCAAACCGTCATAAATATTCACAATATTTCCAACCATTGTGTATTGCGTCTTACATGTAACTTCTTCAAAACGACGTTTTTTCTTAGCAGGTCACTTCTTCTCCAAAGATGACTCACGGAGACCTCATGAAACTTCGTGGCGCGACCAAGCTATTTTATAAATAATCTAATATATTAACACTGTGTCAAAGAATTTTTTTCCTTTTTACAAATGGTTCATGTCATTAAAAATCTCACTAAAACTTACAATCAAAGAGGCAAACTAAGACTACGAGTATCTAAAGAACTCCAATTCCTGTCCTTAAATGCAACTTCACAAGGTGAGACTTATTATTACATGATGTCTCTGGTTTCATCGATACATCTGATGTTTACTGAACAACAACACTAGCAGGCTCAACCTCCTCCTCGTGGCTTCTCGGTGACGCTGGTACCGCAGCAGATCGAGGACGACGACTTGTCGCACTACCATTGCGAGGAGGCTGGGGACTAGTAGCTCTCTTGGCCGACGCTGCTCTAGGAGATTTGGGGTTCTGAGAACCCTGCAAATAAACAAATGTACTTGTGTCAAGTTCAAGTGTACGGTTATGTCTCAAAAAACTGAGTTGGGGAGCACTGGGAACTGTGAGGAAGAAGGGCCTAAAGTACCTTGTGAAGGCCCTGAATAAGTAATTCTCCTTAATAGTAATCGAAACACTGATTTGTAGTTCTACCAGTCTACTAGTACTGAAAGAGTTAAACGTAGTTTTGATGCACAAACGAGGTTTCCCAGAGGAAGTTTCCAAATCATCCAAAACTTGATAGCTTTGCTCATCTTGTCCACTTCAGTACTATGTTTTTCTTTTCCTACCAAGAGTTTTCTTTGATTTATCAACAAACAGATAGCTCAGAAAATAAGCCAGTGACCTAAATAAAAAAGTGGTGGAAAGTATAGGAAGAAAAGAAAATGTGATAGCGAAAGGAGAACGATGCAAACAACAACAAAACTTCAAGCGATAATGAAATCCTCGTACTGGCGGTAAGTCAGGCATTCGATCCAATCCTTCAAAACGTCCTTTGTAAATATGTCCATCTTGACCAATCAGTTCTGTCTCATCCCTATCAAACAAAATACTCTGTAAGTAATTGACACGCACGTCTTTTTCACAGCTGTGCAAAGGGCTTCATTTTTGTTGACCAATCAAAACTAAGAAACTTGGGGTGAAGTAGACAAATGCTAGAGTTTCCCGCGGATTTTGCGGCCGTCTTAGCTTCCTCCCGCCACACAAATCAAACAAAATTCATCAATTACGTTGAATGAAAGTACTTATTGTGGGATTCGGACAGACAAAGAAGTCTGTGACACACTCTTGAGCCCGATTAAATAACGTGACTAAGTGAAGCAAACATTTCTTAACAGCGCTCAGAGGTGGTTTGAGGTCAGCATATGTTTCTTACCTCTGAGGAATTGGTACTGGTGTGTCATCCTCTCTGTAGTAATAATATTGACTGAAAAAAGAGAACAAAAGGCCATATTAGTATTCTCGGTATTGGACTGGAACTAGCTTGCAACTGAGGCTAATGCGGGGAGACTTTCCCAATGCAAATGACATTAATCTCTTTTCNGCATGAGCCTCCATTGCAAGCTAGTTCCAGTCCAATACCGAGAATACGAATATGGTCTATTCACGCATATCCTTAACCTCAATCCCAGACATTTAGGGAAAAACTTGAAACTATCGCAGCCTTGCTAAAGACATTATTGAAATTACAAACAAACATTCCATAATACTGATTAAGCCTTAATCAATTGTTGTTTGTACCAAACATTGCTCGATTATTTACGACGGAAGGTAGGTATGATTACAGACCGAAATGGACTCCACTCAGACCTATTAACATTACTTTGGCCCGTATTCCCAGAGCATTTCCCGTACTCGTATGTCAACAACTCGATAAAAATACAGAAAATGTTTCCTGATTGTAAATTGTAACTCACTTGAATCTGGCTGTCCTTCTGTTAGGAAAGGTCACTGTATGACTTCCACCACATGCTCGGGCTGTTGTTGTGGCTACTTCTTGTTCGTAGGTGTACCCACTGTGTATAATCAGTTAAAAATAATGATTATAAAACGCACAAACCAGACTGTAGGTTATTGTAACATGGTTCGGTAAATCAGCAAAAGTAAAAATTCCTTGAGAAGAAACTGGATTTGCAGTATGACCGCACATATAAAACCTCTCCCAGTGGTGGATGATCCTTCTAACGGTCGGGACAGTGTTTCTCTATATAAACAGATCTTCAGCTTAAGTGCCAACCTTAATAACGTGAAAATGCTCTAAAAACTACTGTCACATTTATTTGGTCATGCCCGTATTCAGTAGCTGTAACCTGGCTTAAACAGGGAACCACCCTATACGCAGGGGCTACGGTGTTTAGCCTGCCAAACATAAATCCCAACGGGCGGCCAAAGGGCACCTGTCATTAAAATGGTTAATTAACCGAGGTGCCATTCTTGTCCATGGCTTTCGGCAAACATGAGCATAACAAATAGGTGAATGAGCAGTTCAATGGCTTTACACGTGCACGTGACACACTTCTCACCCACGGTACTTTGCAAACCGACAACGTTCTTTGTAAGAACTGTACCCTTCTGACACCAATACACCCACAAATAGATTAAAATAATTGCGAAAGTTCAATAAAAGACAATCAATATTTGGTCCACGTTATCGTCGACGGTGCCTCGGTGGTGCTCACCTAATTCTACGAGACTTGTCTTAGTTCTCATGGCGCTTCCAGGGCCCAGTTAGAGATGAAGGTTTACTGGTCGCGGTGAAAAGCGTCAATTTATTACAGGTTTACAACACACTAATTCTCCTTTAGATCTACATGTACTGTTGCGCGACCGTCACTGCGTCTGCTAGCATTGATCAATTAATACCAGCGTTCAAGGGCACCTGTCCTCCTGTTTATATCCTAGCTTCGTATATAAGCTAAGAAAAACCAAAATACTTCGATGTTTCCTTACCCTCGATGCATCTGACGTATTTGATCAAGTTCAAAAGTTGTGTAAGGACGCCCCGACCGAGATGGAGGCAGACCAGGAGTCTGGGGCAGAGCTGGATTGGGACTACAGACAAAACAGCGCCAGTTAAATAAGAAAGTTAACAAACGAAAGATTAACATTATGCATACATAACATAGTATGTTAGAGAGGCATCTTACTACAATGAAGCCCGCAAAAAAATGAACGATGGAACGAACGAACGATCAAATAAAATAAATATGAAGGAAACGTCAACTTATATGACGTTGCTTGAAAAAAAAATAGTGGAACTATACAAGTCTAGTTTTCGTCAGTGCATTGTGTTCCAGTCAGAAATAGATCTTCTTTGTGATATCTAAACTTGAAATAACAGCTAAACGGAAGAGAATACTCACTGGCCAGGTATCATATCAACAGGCCTGTCACAGGAAATACAGTGAAACCTGAGTAACGCCCTGTAAGTCAAACAAATAACCATCAAATTTGCATGAGTATGATACACGGAGAAACAAAAACAAGTGCAATGACTTGCTTACTTGCGGAATCCAGCAGCAGGATCATCAGACAGAGGTAAATCAACATGTTTACATTTCATACTCTTAATCCTCTTTTCTAGAAAAACACAAAAGAAGAAACGCATATAGTAATGTTACTTATTACATGACAACGTTTTCAGAGAGTCAAAAACTAAAATTAGCCAATCAGATCTGCTCTATTGCCGATCCAATATTTTCCAAGGACTAGACCGAGCACTGTCTTACTTTTACTTTTACTTTTCCTAAAGAATTCAGTTACAGGTAAAAGATTTTTTTTTTATTTTTCTTCCAACTTAATAAACGTCCCACGGAACGAAACGCTAAGTCCCTAAAGTCGCCTCTCAATCAGAGTTACGAACGCTACAATTCTACGGTGTTCTTTCCATTCCGTAATCGATGGGTTATTTTTCTCAGTTACATTTCCAGTCGCGTGATTTTAAAAGCTCTTATTCACCAAGATTGCTCTGGAGAACATAGGCCCCTGGCTGGTTCGCATTGTCAAGACCTAGGGCCGATATCTCCCAGAATACCCCTCGCGCTCGGCTCCAGGGCTCTTTCCAGTCCGGTTTTCGGAGATCCTTTCCGAGAAGGAGCCCGGGCCCTTTTCCCGAACAACGGCTGGTAAGCGAGCTTACCTCATAAAATATACTTAGGAAATAACGTCAGTACTCACCAAAGTAATCCTTCAGAGGATCGAGTTCCAGCCTGTCAAGCTTTTGATCAATATCACCAGCCAACCGAGCTAAAGCCTCACTTAACGCTGATTCCTGCAGAAGCAAATACATTTTACATTTTCAGAATCGATATACAAGAACAGTTCAGATAGACAGTGGCTACCGTGACGACCATGTTCTTAGCCGTGTTTCAGCCAATAGCTACACTTGTTATAGCAAGTTTATATGCAATCGATCTTGGCATTAAGTAACCCTGCCTAGCTGTTACATACCTGGCCCTCCAGTCTGTGCAAGAGTTCCTGCAGTGACTGATCCAAGCTTCCAATACTCTGGTCAAATTTGGTTCTATTTACCAAGTTATCCAGTGTACGTTTGTCCGCTTTCTGCAACAGTAATACCAAAATCATGTTAGAACTTTACTAGTTAGCTAGTAATACTGCTCCCTCATATGATGACACAGCATTTCACTCCTATAAGCGACAATGAGCGTATGTTACAACAACACTGCTTCATACCACGTCCATTTCCATGGCAACTTGTTCCTTATCAGCCTTAACCTCTTGCAGTCTGTCAGCGTACGTGTACAGAGCCTGTTAAGAACAATACGTATTGTACTGTGTTTAGTGATTAACAATTGCAAAACATGTACCAAGACTGAAAATCAATGTGTTGCATGAGCGGTTGAGGAGCCAGAAGCTCCATATTTGTGAATCTAAAGTTTAGTTATATTAGTCAAGTACTCACATCAATATGTTTCTGTTTCCTGTTGTGTTCCTCTACAAGCTCCTTTGTTGTGTTGTTAAGTTTTTCCTGTTCTCCTTGAAGTTCTGTTAACATGCTTCTTAAGGCACTGAGCGCGCCACCATCCTAAAACAGACACAAAACCTAAATAACCTGCTTTATTATCTCTATCTCTATCACTATCTCTTTTGTGATTGGCCGAAAGCGTACAGTGAATTTTCGAAATCAGCGCCTGTGACGTCATCTCTGCAGATTAAAAAATAATCATGTCACGGACGCTCAAGGTCACGGGTAATCATGTCAATTTCGCGCGCTTTGTGTTGCTTGCAGTCAGTGAAGAAGCAAAAACATGACTTCGTTCAATGCATAATAAAACAATTATTAAATTCAGTTTTTGTGATATCCAGAATAATCAAGGTCTCTGTAAGGGTTATCAGCCTCAGCCTTCGGTTTCGGCTGATAACCCCTACCTCGACCTTGATTATTCTGGATATCACAAAAACCTCATCCAATAATTGTTTATTATTGAGCCATTTGTCTATGAGCAAATCCATATCAAAAAGTACGAGAAAAACAACAGTTTTCCTGGCTAGCTGTTAAAGAAGATCCTCTCTAACTGTAGCGAATAGGAGTACACTGTCGCCCCCGGACGGAATGCTGATCCATGACATCGCATGGTTACTCTCCAGCATTTAATTCTCTGCTACCCATTAATACACCTGGATGGAGAGAGCGGACTGTGTGAGGGGAAAGTGTCTTGCCCAAGAACACAACGTAACAACCTGAGCAAGAACTCGAACCGGACCGCCCGGTCCAAAGTCCAACGTACTAAGCATTAGACCTCCGCACCTTACGAGCAACACATCTTCTGAGCTGGTTCAAAATGACTATCATGTATAGATTACAGGGATGGTTCAATTACAGGTCCCAAAATAAGTTCATATAGACTAAAAGGTCCCAGGTGTGAAAGAGAAAAGGGTTGGAGAAGCGGCCATTACACCCTCAACAAAATTTCCAAGAAGCATTCCCTTAGAACTCAGTGCAGTGGTCCGCAAGCAAAAGGAACACTAGCTGTAACCGTCAATTCCAATCAACAGGTAAGATCGTCAAAAAGTAACGTGGAGTCATAAAACCTTTCTAAATTACGCTTCTTTCATTGTGAAACCTAACCTTACCCTACTATGTGAGTTTGAGTTTGGCTTCCTTGTCATGTTAACTATTGTTGTTTAATTTCAACGGGGCTACAAGGATGTGTTGTTTCAAAAGTTTTAATAGTTTACATTATTATATTAACTTGATTAAGAAGCTGGTACCTTTACTTTTCCGGCATTTGAAGTCGAAGATTTAGGAATCGTTTCTTTCATCTTCTTGTACTTTAACAGTAAACATTGTTATATCATTTTTCAAGTTAGTGACTTCATTTACATATAGACTTGCACATTTACATGATTTCACAAAATGCAACAATCGTTTTAAAGCTTAAAAGGTGTTCAGTTAATGAACTTTAAGTCAGTGTGAACAAATTAAGAAAACCCTAGTCTGGTTGTCAAAAGAAAACAATTTACTTGATCGATCAATCGATTCGTGTATTTTTTTTTACAGCTTTTGTAAAATCACTTTACCAATAAAAACGGTTAGTCAGTTTTCTTACTTTTCCCAAAAACATTTACAGCATTTAAGACCTATGAGAAAGCTTATTACAAGATTTAACACCAACCTTATCAAGCTGGTTATTGAGAAGTCGGAGACCATCTCTTAGAGTTCTGACCTCGCGTTCTGTGTCCTCTTTTAATCGATCCTCAATTCGCTGTAGTTTTGACGGTAACTTCAAATTTTACGGAATGAAAATGATCAGTTTAGATTCCTTGACAGGAGAATCCTAGGTTACTTTACAGTGAAGTGATGCTATCCTCAATACAGATATTTATAAAATTCACTACAAGTTTTAATCGGCCCAACACATACTTCACGTAAGCAACTTTTTCTAACGTGTAGAGAATTAAATGCTTTCTTCGTAGGACTTCTTTTTTCTCCTTTTCTACATAGTTTAAGGTGATGCATCTACTTACTAGCAATGTTTTTGTCAGCGTTCTAAATTGTTTACCTTCCCAAATAATTTTAAATCAAACAATCGTTATTTATTTTGTAAAAATAAGGACACGGTTTAACTTGTGTCATTTTATTTGTTCAAGGGCATAGTTTCCACCAAAAGGAACAATACCAATGTAGTATGAAAATGTAGAAATGCGTTTATTTTATACTATTATTAATGTTAGGTATGTATGAAGATTTTATTACCTGATCTTTAAACTCTTTAATTTGACTGGTTGCTCTTTCCAGGTACTTAAGCTTGTTAAGTTGATCGAGTAAGTCATCAGGAATCATTTGAAGCTTGAACAGTAAGTAAAATATGAAAATTACTTCGCAGACACATGCATTTATCATTAATTTTACAACGCGTGCTTACATGCCATGTGTTGAGAACAGAAGATTATACAATTTTTCTTGAGAAAACAGAATATTTGTCTAAAACAGCAAGTCAAAATTTTTTATTCTGAGCAAGTCAAAAGGACTTTTGTCTAAAACACTTTTTTTTTAGGAAAATGAGAACACGAAGAAACACATTACAGATTAATGTCATTCGTCAATACCTGGAAGGACATGTTTAATTCTGTACTTGTTTAAGTAAATTGTCGAATTATGACATTATTATAGTTTTATTTCTTAACTGTAAGTGATGTCAATGAAGTGTTGTGTACTACATTACTTCGTAACGACATTGCAATTTGCAGTGCTGTTATTGTTGATGTTCAGGTGTCAGTTAGTCCTGACATAAACATTTTTAATATGTAACTAAAGAAAAATATATTGCTTAAATTTCACATTGTTAGTTTTCGTTTTTATATGTACTATTTTAATTGTTAGTTTATTGTTAGTGGTTATGTTTTATTCACCTTTTCGTTGTGGTAACTCAGCATATCAGATACATTCTTTAGGCTTTGCAGTTGCTCTCCCATTCGTTCAATCTTATCAAAATTATAAAACGTTAACATCACTACCACTAGAACGTTTTAACCATTCAATATTACTTACATTTTGTACTAGAGGCGTACCTTCACTTTAACTACTTCCAAAGTCAAATTACACGCGACATATATATCTACTAAGTGCTTTTAATACTTCAGCTACTTTTTATATCAAAATCAAACAGAACTTTAGTGCTAGCCAATTCAATTACGAGAAATCACAAGAAGAAAAATAACATCACAAAACTATACTGGAATTTCTAACTAGTGACTAAGATTTTAATCCGATTTTAACGTCTTTCTTAATTTTTATCTTCAGTACGTTTATTACGCTCATATGATTGCACATTTCCTGTTAAGAAAACATGGACAAAGCGTTTTATTATTTAGTTTGTGGCTTTCATTGAGATGTTGTTAAGATATCGCTGTATCATTTAAATGATTGTTAGAAATTAAGAAGGTATTTAACCCATGTACCTGTCGCTTGTTATCGCTGAGTAGTGCCAGTCCTTCTCTCAGTGACGTTAACTGGGATTCAAGATCAGCCGGAATGGTTTTCTTGAAATATTATTTCCAATGTATGAAAATCAAATTTAAATTATTTTTGTTACTGTTCATTGGTGAATCATCCTTTTTCTACTTTTATTTATGTTTAGCTTATGAAAAAGCTCAAAGCACTGCAAGAACATCTACAGCTACTTTGTCCTGACAAATGTTCTTGTGGATATCTGCTACATGTACATGTAGCTGTCAGTGAGGGTAACACAGGGTATGCCATATTTCTTGAGAGTCGGATTTGATAACTCTCATTTCCTCCATTCGACTGCAATCCAGGTGTACCACATATAACAATGCTATATTAGTGTCACCCACAGTAGGTTAGTAGGAAACAAGACTTTCTTTCCCACTATCTTTTAACAGGAGGTAAGTTTCTTTCATCTTGGAACATAATGTTCACAGAAAAAGAGCATATTCTGAGGGATTTTGCTTTATTTTTTGTATGCAATCAAGGTACACATTATAAGCCTGCCTGTTTTGCATAAATCACCCAGCCAAGTTGATAAGGCTAATACCTCCTCTTTCCATTTATTTATTGCATCAAGTCCATCTTTCAACCACTTTAGTTGTTCAAGAATGTCGTCTGGAACATCTGCACAAATAAAAACAGTTTATAAAGGAGTTAACAGTGGAACATCATGAACATCTTTCAAACTGTTTATTAGTCAATACACGTATATGCAGAACATAGCTGAATGCTACACGTATACAAGTAATAAATTCTCACCACAGTGAAAAACTGTAAACCTCTTAGATGAATGGTGTTAATCTATTAGAAGTTATACTAATCAAGCAGACTGAATAAAAAAAATTGAGACAAAGTTTTCTCTAAAGGTTTCATATGAACAAAGGGCTACTAATTAAAATAGCGATATAATGGTTTTATGACTTCCATCACCATTCTACGAAAATATATCTGCATGCTATTCCATATCAGTTCACTTATACAGGACATCTTACCAGGCCTATTCCTCAGTTCAGCCAAATCCTCAAGGTTAGCTTTCTTAGGCATTTGTTCCTATAAAGAAAAATATCAAACTACCATGGAACGTCTACTTTGGGACACCTCTAACTGATATATTGAGGGGACACTCAGATTAAACAAAACACAAAGTAACTTTTTTTTCTCAACAAAATGGATGCTTATAGAAACCTTTGTGTCAATCTATGACCTTTCTTAGCTTTTATTAAAGGGACACTTCTTTTAGGAGCAAAGTGCATCCTAACAGAAGTCTTATCATTAACAAATTGTAGTATCTATCAAACTTCCTATTGTCCCAATGATGCCGATCCTCATAATGGAAATCCCTCCAATCTGTAGTAGTAATCATTAACAGATTACTAGGAAGGAGTGTCAGGCTTTGTGATTAAGTATGAACACCAGGGTCTCTATACTGTGTTGCATTGCAGATCTACTTTTCAGTGGACTGTTCAGTGAATTTGCTATACTGATTTCAATTTTCAGTACTTTTTCAGTACACATAATAATTTTTAACAATGACAAATTAATCATGTCACTCACTGCAAATTAAGTGTGCACATCAAACCTTCTACCATATAAATAATTAAAGCACAGAGTTAACAGGTTACACTAATGTACTGTACCTCCAAAGAATCCACTTGCTCAATTAGCACCTCATGTTTGTCCATTAGCTCTCCAATTTGTCTTAATGCTTCAAGTGCCTCAGGGGACGGATGAGGGGGACTTGGTGTTCTTGGGGGAGGAGGGGTGGGAGTTCTTGCTTTAGGAGTAGAAGCTCTGGATTTTGCAGATGGAGCTCGACTCCTTCTAGCATTTAAAGCTTCTTCAAGTTGTGGCCATTTGACATAAATATCCAAATTTTCAAGGTCATCCTTGGTGGGAAGATCATCTACTTGCTTCTTTAGATTTTCCTGAAGGAAACGGTCATTGGCAACTAAATTTATGTACATGCACTTATCACTCTGACTTATAATATATTATTATTAACTTAACACCCTTCATAACCGAACTACTTAATGGTGTGACCAGTGAGTTAAAGAGCCCATTAACCAATCTTTTC